TGCAAAAAAAAAAGAAACACAGTCACCAATTATGTTGGTCAGAATTTAAACATGGATAATTGTTCAAATTTATTAGTAATCAAGCCAGTCATCTGGTAACTCAACTTTGAGCCATCATTACACTCAATAAAAACATAAAACACAGACAGACAATCAGAAGAAAAACATAAATTTGGACCAACAATTTTTGCCTTGATTATTAATCAACCCGATTTTATTTACATAAAAAAAGCCTGCAAATTCTCAATGCAAATGAGAACAAACAAATCTGAAACCCAATTATTATACAACTCTTATTACAATCATATTAAATGGTTGCACAGAGGATTATCACTAGCCTGGCAAATCTCCAGCAGTCGCTCTCCACAAGCTGCATGGCAAGAGGAGATAAACAGGGTGAACAAGAGAGAAAGGTACAATTACCTAATTTAGGTAAAAATCCATAGTGACACATAGCAGAACAACTAATACGAAGAAATATTGACTTCTGTTCAGGGAAGGTATACTGTATTTATTTTAAAATTGTTCAGTGTGTAAGTATCTCTGATTAGGCCAACATTTGTTCCCCACCCCCAAATGCCCTGGGAAGTGATGGTGAGCTGTCTTGAACTTCTGCAATCTTTGAGGTGTAGATATACCCGCAGTACTGTGAAGGACATCAGCCTTGGTAAGTGAAGAAACAGTGATATACTTCCAAGTCAAGATGGTGTGTAGTTTGGATGGGAACTTACTAGGTGGGGTGTTCCCATGCAACTGCTGCCCTGGTTGTCAAGGTGGTAATGATCATGGATTTGGAAGGTGCTGCCAGATTTTGAAAGGAGTGAAAATCAAGTGGGTTGCTTTGGCCTGGATAGTGTCAAGCTTCAAGCGCTGTTGGAGCTCTACTCACCTTGGAAAGTGAAGAGTATACCATCACACCTCTGATGTGTGCCTTTTCATGGCGGACAGGATTTGGAAGATAGGAGGCGAGTTACTTGCTGCAGAATTGCTAGCCTCTTGACCTGCAGCCACAGGATTTATGTGGATAGTCCAGTTGTGTTTCTAATCCCCAGGATGTTGGGGGATTCAGTGATGGCAGTGCCATTGAACATCAAGGGATGACGGCTAATTTCTCTCTTGTTGGAGATTGCCAATGCCTGGTGTCTGTGTGGCGCAAAGGCTATTTATTTATCAGCCTAAGCTTGGATGCTGTTCAGGTCTTGTTATGAATACACATGGACTACTCATCATCTGGGGTGTCACAAATGGTGCTGATCATTGTGAAATCATCCATGAACATTCCCACTCTGACCTTACGATCGAAGGAAAGCTATTGTTGAAGCAACGGAAGATGGTTGGACCGAGACACTACCCCGAGGAACTCCTGCAAAGACGTCCTGTGACCAAGATGATTGCCCTCCAACAACCATAACCACCTTCCTTTGTACTCGCCTCCTTTGTGTGTTTCGAGGAAGGGTCACCGGATCTGAAACGTTAACTCTGATTTTTTTTCTTCACAGATGCTGCCAGACCTGCTGAGCTTTTCCAGCTACTTCTGTTTTTATTCCTTTGTACTAGGTATGATTTCAACCAGCCATGTATTGATATTATGTGGAGTGGATCAAATTGGTTAAAGACTCGTGTCTAGGATGTTGGGGACCTCAGGAGGAAGTCAAGTTGGATCATCCACTCTGCACTTCTGGCTGAAGATGGATGCATATATTTCAGTCATGTCTTTTGCACTGATATGCTGGGCTCCTCCATCATTGAGGATGAGGATATTTATGGAGCTTCTTTCTGCTTTAAAAAAATCAAGTATTCAGTCCAATCATCAAAAAGGAGTGTCTAGATTCCCCCAACAATTCAGCTGCTCAAAATGCCGAGTAGCTGAGTCAGGCAAAGCAGAAGTATTTTAGTTCAACCTCTGGTCTTTGCTGAGTAAGTCAACCTCATTCAGACAAACGTAGTGGCTGTAAGTAGCTTTCACCAAAACTCCAAACTGCAACTTGAAGGGTAGAAAGCTTGCAGAATTCCATTTCTGGATAAATGCAATGAGTCCAATTAAGTAGTATTAAGCAGTATTAAAAAGCATAAATCCTTGAGTTTACCACCATAGTAAAACTAAATTCTTAAAATACCCTGCAACAAATAAATGAGGAAAAAAGCCAAATGTCTTAGCTTCTGGAGGAGACTTTCCAAAATGCAACATTTCGGTCAGCATCCATCTTGTACACCAATGTTAACCTCAGAACAGAAGACCTCAACATTTTGACAATAGAGCTCACCTGTTCGTCTCCTGCTTCGTGTCCAGTATGGCACTGTCTCGATTGTAGAAACTGCTTCGATTGGCCCGCCATTATTTGGCAACGTCAGAGTGGTTTTAGCCACAATGGAATCATTTGCCTGAAAAAATAACCAAAACTGTCATCTGAAAGCATAGCATTAAATCTCACACACAAGCTGACAACACCCAGCTCAATCCCATCACTGTGTCCCTTGCCTAAAATTACCTACTTGCTTAACTGATATCAGGCACTGGTTGAGCAGAAATTTTGCCCAACTTAATACTGAGAAGACTTCATTCATGGTCTTTGGTCCACAGTCCAAACTGTTTTCAAGCTACTGGATCCATCTTTCTAACTGGTACTAGTTTGAGATCAAACCATTGTTTTCACTATCTTGGTGTCACACTTGGTTCTGAGATGATCTTGTAACATCAGATGTGTCATCACAAAGATTGCTTATTTCCAGATCTAATATTGCCCATCTTCATCCCCATCTCAGCTCATTTGCTGCTGAAACCCTCAACCATGCTGCTCTTACCTCAAACTCAACTGTTCTAATGAACTACTGGCTGGTCTCACACTCTACCAACTGCTACATTTTACATTTGTCTATAATACTCACCTTTTCAATTGATCGTGAACGCTTAGCTGGTGCTGGCTGGACATCAACCAAGACTCTTGAAGAACGCTAGAAAGAAACAAGTACAAAATTTTTAATACAATTGGCCATAACTGGTTGCATAGCCGTTATCAATCAGGAACGAATCTGGTGCGTGAACACAATGTTCTTATCAGCATTATATATTAAAGTGATTTCAAATAACGTACAATGCTGTACAACCATGAGTGAATTTGTAACTGTCTATTTCTGCAAACGCATTACCCATGACCTTTCCAGGAATAAATAGCCTCCATTCACACAAGTGCAGCAGAAACTTCTTGCTGAAGGCAAAGCCAGTTGATAAAGGCAGATTTAATAATGGCCGTGCAATCTGGTACACTAATTTATAATGTTAATTGGAAAATTGTATTAAAGTGCTTCAAGGAAAGGTACAATGGTGCACTGTTCTACAGCTGCAAATAAAATTATATTAATCACAGCCTTTAATCCAGGTATAAATAGATTTAGACAGGTGTACCAGAAACCTCCTGAAGGGAAAAATCTGCTTTTGTAGACAGATTTCACATCAAGCAGAATCGACAACAGTTTTTAAAAAGAGAACATGTCATGAAGAGAGACATTTTTCATTTTAATCACATGGCAGATTAAGGGTGAGAAACCTGGATCTGAAATAAAAGCAAGTATAAAACTAAGATGATACAGATGCCTAAAGTAGATTGGGAAAATAGGCTAAAAGTTAAGACAGCAGAGAAGCTGTACAGACATTTAAGGAGATGTTTCATAACTCTCAAAAATACATTGCGTTGAGAAAGATAAATTCTAAGAAGGATGCCATACCATGGCTGGCAAGGGAAGTTAAGAATGGCAATAACTTAGTCTTTCAAGTGTAAAATGTCAAAGATTAGTGGTAGGCCAGAAGATTGGGAAAATATTGGAAACCAGAAAAAGGTGACTAAAAACAACAGAGAAATTAGAATACCAGAGCAAATTAGCACAAATTATAAAAAGGGACAGTAAAAGTATACTTCTGCAAGTATATAAAAAGTGAGAAAAATGGGTAAAGTAAGTGCCATTCTATTAGACTAAGACTAATGGATTAATAACAGGAAACAAGGAAATGGCAGAGAAATGAAGTATGGACAGAGGATTGGCTAATAAAAAAAAAAGTTGGAATAAATAGATCACTTTCAAGCTTGCAAACTAACTAGTGGAGTGCCACAAGATTAGTGCTGGGACATCAACTATTTGCAATCTATATTTGTGACATGGACAAAGGGACAGAGTGCAGTGTAGATAAGTTTGCTGAGAATACAGGGATAGGTGTGAAAATAAGTTATGAGAAAGACATAGATAGTTTGCAAAGGGGTATAGCTAGATTTACTGAGTGAGCAAAAATTTGACAGAAAATTATTTTGGAAAACGTGTTCTCACCATTTTGGTAGGAAGAACAGAATATTATTTAAATAAAGTAAAGAATGCAGAATGTCATACAGATGGATCTGGCTGCCTTTGCATTTCTAATATTCAGCTGGCATGATGACAATACCTATATTCCATGGAAATGCCTTTGCAATGGAATAGCTGCATGATTTGCAAGGGAAGTCTTTAACTTGTGTGAAGGAAGCAAATAAATACAGAGGGAATATATAGCTGGACGTTCACTTAGGTGGTCATTCTTTCAACAAATACCATGCAAATATGCACATCCTGAGCTGAGTTATAATGACAACGTTTTTTGTCGGTGTGTCCATTGA